TAGTTCTTTACCCTTGTCCATCTATCTTCCATTTCTCTCATTCGATTTTCATTGATTTTTAAATCATTTAATTTCACATTCATAATTTCAAATTCCATTTGCTCCACCATATCTTGGTACCATTTATTTATTGTCCATTTTGATTTATCTTTCCACCCTAATACTATTATTGCTTGTTCACATTCAATGATTGCTTCTTTTATTTCCCTTTTATTTCCCATTTCCTCTCTTTTTCCTAATACCGCTGATTCCTTTGTTATGACCCACTCATTTCCTAGTATTTGATTTGACACATTTTGTATAGTCTGCCAAAAATCTTGTACATATTCACATTCCCACATCATGTGCATAAAGTGCCCTTTCTGGTGGCATCCATGCCAGCACTGACTACTCCCCTTTTTATAGTAATATGCTAATTGGCAGGGTGTACGATACCATTTGTGCAATATTTTCCTCCTCGTTTCTCGAACTTTGGTATTCCTTTCCATCCCTATTGTCTCTACCATATTTCTCATTTCTTGTTCCGAGATTTGTAACTCCGTTTCCCACATAGTTTTCAAGTCCTGTATTGTACATCCATCGGCCTCTATTAGCAGTGTATATATTTTGCTGGCCTGTGCCTTCTTTCCATCCCCCTTTTCTCTTATTATCTTTTCAAAGGCGGTATCTTCTCTCTTAACCATATTGATATTTTCTTTTGTTTTGCAATATGCACAGATTGCTCTTATCTGTAACCAATTTTCTTGCCCAAGCCATTGTTTAATTTTATTTCCCCTTACCTTTCCCTCTCTGTCATATAATTGTTCTATTCTCTCTATTCCCTTTCCCTTCAATGTCTGGATATTTCTATTCATATTTGATTCCTTATCCTTATTAATTATCCATACTGTTGACATTTTGGATTTTAAACTACTTATTCTCCCTTGCCATTTCTTCCACACTTGCATTGTTCCTTTCATTGGTCCTGTTAATTTATCTATATTTCTCTTATCCCATTTTCTAAAAATGATTTCTTCACAATTAACTCCATTCATTTCCTTTTCAAATCTCACCCATTTTTTTATTTGTCACTTGTAATTCTATTGCTCTTTCAATTTGGAAGGCATCGCTATATAGCTCTAGGCATGGGCAGCCCCATCCCCCTTTCATTTCTTTTGCAATTATCAATTTTTTCCTTACTCTTGGTCTTTCCCCCCCTTCAACCCAATAATTTAGTTTCCTATCCCATTCCTTTAATTTTGCCAAGGGAGAAATTCCTGGGAGAGCCTGAAATAGATACATCATTTTTGGAATTATCAATATTTTCAATGCCCTTATCCTAGACATCTGTCTCAAATTTTTATTCTTCCACCTACTCAATTGGTTTTTTTAAAAATTTATTTTTATTAAGTTTTCATATATATATATATACACACAATAGGGAGTGAACTTCAAAGGGCAGCCAAAAAAAGAAAAAGAAAAAAGGGGGGGATCCCGGAAAACGCACATGCATAGCTCGCATTCTTTTGCTTTACTTCCCAATAGTCTTCCGGGAGTCTTCATTTCTTAATTTCTTGTTATTTCTGCCGACCATGTTTCCTTTGAGTATTTTTTAACTTAAATGCTAGAGAGGTCTATCTGTAGTGTCACCTTCCTGGATTTGATAAAGTCTTTGAACCCAGTCCAATTTGTCCTCTTATGTGTTCCTTTTAGTCTTTGCGAGAGGCAGTCAATTTGAATGATATCGAAATTTTTTAAAATCCAGTCTTCCAGGTTTGGGATTTCTTTCTGCTTCCAAATTCTGGCAATGAGTATTCTTGCCGCAGTGCTGAGTAAAAAGAGCATTTTTTCTTGGTTCTTACCCAGCTTCGCATTCGTAATTCCGAGTAGATAAGTCTCTGGCATTTGTAGAAATTTTGTCTTTAAAATTTTTTGAGATGCCTGGTGTATCTCCTTCCAAAACTTTTTAATTTGTTTGCAGGACCACCACTGATGACAAAAAGACCCCTTTTCCTTCCCACATTTCCAGCAATTGTTTGAGATGTTTTTGTTAAATTTCGCTAATTTTTCAGGCGTATAGTGCCATCGGTAAAACATCTTACACCAATTTTCACGGAGGTCACTAGCCTCCGTGTATTTTAATTTGGTATTCCAAATTTCTTCCCATTCTTTTATCAGTGTGTTATGGCCTATATCTTTAGCCCATTTTACCTGGCAATTCTTTACCTGTTCTTCTTCAGTATCCCAGGCTAGTAATTGATGATAGAGAATTTTAATTAATTTTTTTGTTTTTTTCATTATTGTGTTCCATGGCCCCTGAGTTTGGCAAAAGCCGAGCTTTCTGTCTATTTTGAATTCCTGATGCAATTGGTAATAGTTCAGCCATGAAAATTTTTCATTTATATGTTTTATCTCCTCTAAGGATTTCATTATTAGGCTGCCGTCCACATTTCTTTTTAATAATTGTTGGTATGTTAGCCATCTCCCCTCTTCCAGCTCCCTTTTGTGTTTAGCTTCGATTGGGGATATCCAGAGAGGTGTGCTACTAAATAGTCTAGGCCTATATTTCTCCCAAGGTCTTATTAATGCGGCCCTTATATAATGATCACTAAAGCCTTTTTCAACCTTTCTTTTATTGTACCATATATATCCATGCCATCCGGCTCTTAGATCGTGTCCCTCCAACGCCAGTAATGAGGAATTTTCTAGTGTTGCCCATTCTTTAATAGCTACAAGATTGCACGCCTCGTAATAGGCTTTGAAATTTGGTAACCCTAAACCCCCCCTTTTTTTCTCATCCGTTAGTATCCGTAGACTTATTCTTGGTTTATGATTTTTCCAAATGAATTTCGTTAAATCTGAATTCCACTTCCTGAATAGGAAGTCGTTTCTAATCACGGGTAAAGCTTGAAATAAAAATAAAAGTTGCAGGAGTACTACCATTTTAACTAAAGCTATCCGTCCTAGCAGAGATATGTTTTGATGTTTCCATCTATCCATATCCTTTTGTATTTTTTTCCATAGTGGTTTGTAGTTGTTCTTTATTAGATTTACGTTACTTTTGGTAATAACGATCCCCAAATATTTTATTTTGCTTTCGATTCTAATCCCTGAAATTTCTTGTAGTGCGGATTTGGCATTTTTATCCATATTCTTAACTAGCAGTTTGGTTTTTCTGTTTATTCAATTTAAACCCCGCCAAATTTCCAAAATTTTCAATTTTCCGTAGCCAATGTTTAATATTGCTCACCGGGTCCTCTACAATGCAGACTACGTCATCGGCGTAGACTCTTAATTTGTATTGATGTTTAATAATTTTCATTCCTTTTAATTTTGAGTCCTCGTTTATGTTTCTGATCAGAATTTCCATTACCAAGATGAATAGTAAAGATTTCCCTTTGACATTAAGTCTAGTCATGTCTGACTCTGGGGGTTGGTGCTCATCTCCATTTCTAGGTCGAAGACAGGCGTAGTCTGTAGACAGCTCCACTGTCCTGTGGCCGGCATGATTGCATGGAGCGCCATTACCTTCCTGTCGGAGCGATAACTATTAATCTACTCATATTTGCATGTTATCAAACTGCTACGTTGGCAGAAGCTGGGGCTAAAAGTGGGAGCTTACTCTGCTCCCTGGATTCGAACCTCCAATCTTTCAGTCAGCAAATTCAGCAGCTCAGCGGTTTAACCCACTGAGTCACCAGGGGGCCCAACTATATAGGATTTAGAGGGCATCCCATATAGGATTTCTTTGGATCCGACTGAACAAAAGCACTTTCATTTCCTTTGGGGTTGGGGCTCCGGCATTGCTACTTTCCGCTTCCAGTTTTGCTTGGAGGACTCCCTGCTCTAGCCCTGTCTTGAGCCAAAGCTGGACTAGATGGCCTCTAAGGAGCCCTTCCCTCCTCGGATTCAAGAAGCAACATCCCTGAACTTTCTGCATGCCCTGTCTTGGTTTGAAAGAGATCTGTGAAGGCAATGTTTCTTAACCTTCCTAATGCCGCGACCCCTTAATACAATTCATCGTGTTGTGGGGACCCCCAACCATAAAATTATTTTCGTTGCTACTTCATAACTGTAATTCTGCTACTGTTATGAATTGTCATGTAAATATCTGATATGCAGGATGTATTTTCATTCACTGGACCAAATTTGGCACAAATACTCGATATGCCCAAATGAATACTGGTGGGGTTGGGAGGGGGATTGATTTTGTCATTTGGGAGTTGTAGTTGCTGGGATTTATAGTTCACCTACAATCAAAGAGCATTCTGAACTCCACCAACCATGGACTTGAACCAAACTTGGCACACAGAACTCACATGGCCATGAGAAAATACTGGAAGGGTTTGGTGGGCTTTGAACTTGAGTTTTGGAGTGGTAGTTCACCAACATCCAGAAAGCACTGTGGACACAAACAATGATGGATCTGGACCAAACTTGGCACAAATTCTCAGTGTGCCAAAATGTGACCACTGGTGAAGTTTGGGGAAAATAGACCTTGCCATGTGGGAGTTGTAGTTGCTGGGATTTATAGTTTACCTACAATCAAAGACCATTCTGAACCCCACCAATGATAGAATTGGGTCAAAGTTCCCACATAGAACCCCCCTCCAGCCTCACATGCTCTCCCTTTTCCATATAAACCACGCTGCCATGCGCCGAGCACGCCTGCTCTCCCCTCCCCTCCCCTTGGCTGAGAGGCCGGCTGAGAGGCTGGCTAATCACAGTGGAGGAGGGCTTTTGGGGGGAGGATTCACCGTCTGTTTCCAAAAAGGAAGAGAAGGACAGGCAGAGAGATCTCTGCCAAAGTGGTTCCTAAGGCCATCAGAAATATATGTTTTCTGATGGTCTTTGGAGACTCCTCTGAAACCTCCTCGCGATTCATCCCCAGGGGTCCCGACCCCCAGGTTCAGAAACACTGCTATAGAGGGACGGATTGTTTTCTGGCAGTAAACACAACAGAGACGAAGTTGAGAGAAAGACCTCTATGGACAAGAGGAGAAGGCCCCAAACAAAGCATGTGCAGATGCATCAATTTATTTAGAAAAGCTTTATCGGTTCAAGTATTGGAAAACATTGTTGTGGGTTATAGGCAATATGGATGTATTAGCCGTTGAAGAGGTCCTCTTGAAAGGCGTGTTGTATATGGAGCAGCTATTATTAACCCTCGTTCTCGAGCGGGAGTCTTTGCTATCTTTGTTTGACTTGGGGTCCTAGCATGCTTGACCCCGGCTAGCTGCTAGGACTTCTGGGAGCTGCAGTCCAAGGTCAAAAAGGAATGGGTTGCTGTGAGTTTTCCGGGCTGTATGGCCATGTTCCAGAAGCATTCCCTCCTGATGTTTTGCCCACATCTATGGGAGAATGCTTCTGGAACATGGCCATACCACCTGGAAAACTCATAGCAACCCTATGATTCCAGCCATGAAAGCCTTTGACAATCAAAAAGTAATGCATCCATCGCTCTAACTTTTGTGTCTTTCACAGCTACTGGACTATGTCTGCATTATATGAGAGGTAACCTTACTCTACTGATATAGTCTTTTCTTTTTCCAGTTGACTGATTAGAATCATGAATCTGAAGCTCAAAGAAAGAGTCTTCATTGAATTTCTGGCCAAAGAAGGTTGTGCACTTAAGGAAATCCATCATCGCTTGAAGAATGTTTAGGATTTGGTCCCTTCTGACTTTTACCTGTTTGGACCTCTGACAGACAACCTACGTGGTTTCAGATTCAATGAAATTTCGAAAATGGTTTTGATGCCTGCGTTAAACAGTGGCGCAAATGTGTCCAAATTGATGGTGACGGTGTTGAAGGGTAATTTTGTGGAGATGACAGTTCAGGTTTTCTGCTGTTATAGGTTCATTCATAAAGTTTTTATGACACAGGAGCCAAAAGTTTTTAACCTACCCTCATAGAATCTGGATGTCTGTATGTTCAATGTTGTTCTTTGTGTAAAAATGTCAAAGTTCTGTTACCCTTTCTCATACTGGAAAATTGCAATAAAAAGAACCTATGCTTTAATGTTATTGACAAGCTCTTCATAACACAAGCACATCTCAGATGAGTGCAAATGGAGAAGCCCTCTTCCAAACCAGAACCATTGGACCTGTTGGTCTTCTGGAGGTGCTTGAGCTGTAACTCCCAGGTTCCCTGGCCACCCTCAGTTCAGGTCCAAGGGCTGCTGGAGAATGTAGTCACTGACCACGGAGTGGGCTGAGCAGTCTTCTGAGTGGAAAGGGTTTTAGAGGCTTTGTCTTAATGATCGGGCAGGAAGCTATTGAGCGTGAGGCTGTCAGCCTCGGCCTCGGTGCCATTCTCCTGCAGCATCCGCACCCGTTGCACCCGGGGGCCTTTTGCCCGCCCCTCCTCAGCCTCCTCAGCAGCCAGCAATGAGGAGATGCACACCATCTCAGTCTGGTTGTGTCGGTTCAGGCGGTAGGCCTGCCTCTGGCGCCACAGCAGGCCCGCCATCACTGCCGCCATGACAATGAAGACACCAGCCACAAGGGCAAGCAGAGAGATGGCCAAGAGACACTTGCCCACCATGCTGGTGCTGCTGGCAGGGACAGGGGACACGGTGGTGACGTGAGGGACATGGCTTTCTTTCCCCTTAGTTCCAAAACTGGTCCCAACTGGACCAAGACTCGGCCTCCCTGTTATGGCAGAGGTGTCAGTGTCGTCCATCAGCACCTTCACTGGCACAGTTGTCCTGTGGTACGGTGATGGCCTATACTTGGAGCGGGGTCTTGCCGGCTTGCGGATCTCTGTTGTCTGAGCGGGCGCAGTTGATTGGTCTTCCCATAGCCCATCTATGGTTGTTGTGAGAAAAGGTGCAGGCCTTCCTTTGGCTTTTAGGAAAGTCTTGAGAGTGCCAGGCTTCAGGGCTGCTGTGGAGCTCTCCATGCCCAACATCTCCGCAGGGGCAGACGATGAGTCGTCGTGAAGCCATGGCCAATGTTCTGTCGTGGCGAGCACTCCTTTAGCAGGTGGTAGCCTTTCCGAGGACGTCGCGGGGCCCATTTTGGACACAAGATGGGTCCCATCTTTGGGAAGCTTGGCTTCTTTGGCAACGCTGGATGCCGGAGACTGAGTCACTGTAAGGGAAACGGTGATAAGCCCTTGCATTGGTTTCTTTGGAGTTGTCACACGATCTGGCATTTTGGGGATTTCACCAAGATCTTTCTTGGGGAATCCCTCCATAGCTTTGGAAGAGTTGTGAAGCTCAGGGCCAGACTCCCTCTTCCTCCGGAACAAAAGAGAGTCTTGCAGGCTTCCGTCATCGGACGACTTCCACTCCCATCGTTTTTGGGGAGAGTCCCAAAAGTTCATGGGGAAGCCATCTTGGATAGGGAGCTGGGCAATAGTGATGCTTGAAAGGAGCATCAACAGCGAGAACCAGAGCAGAGCCATTCCACCTAGAAGAGGCAACCAAAAAACATTACAAATTGTGTCTCATCCCCCTTCATCTGTCTTTTCGGAACAAAATGTATGAGCGTGGGTCAAAAAGTAATGCCTGAATTGCTCTAACTTTTGTTTCTTTCCCAGGTACTGGACTATCTATGTATGATATGATAGAGGTAACCTTACTCTACTGATATAGCCTTTTCTTTTTCCAATTGACTGATTAGAACCATGAATCTGAAACTAAGAGAAACAGTCGTCATTGAATTTCTGGCCAAATACGTTTGTGCATCTAAAGAAATCCATCATCAGTTGAAGAATGTTTATGGGGACACTGTAATGGACATCAGCAATGTTTGGACCTCTGAAAGACGACCTACATGGTTTCAGATTCAATTAATTGAATGACATTCAAACAGCCCTCAAATCATGGGTCATAAAGCAAAACCCTGAATTTTTCCAAAATGGTTTTGATTCCTGGGTTCAAATGTGTCCAAACTGATGGTGACTATGTTGAACAGCAAGTTTTGTGTAGAGGACAGTTCAGGCTATGATCTGGAGCAACTTCTTCTGTTATAGGTTGATTCATAAAGTTTTTATGACACATGAGGCAAAACTTTTTGACCCAGCCTCATATACCCCACCCAGCACCCAGCCCTTTTCCTCCTCCTCTGACCTCTCTCCAGTCACATTGGCTTTCGAAATGGGGTAGAGAAGGCCTAGAGAAAGTCAGGGTCATTTCCATGGCTGAGTCCAACTTGGACCTCGCATTCAACCCAAGCTGGGCTTTGCTCCCCACCCATTTCCTGTGTAGATCTAATCTACAGCCAAGCGAGCGGAAGATGAACTAAGGAGGCATTATCTCCAGCACTCAATCCGAAAGCAAGAGAGATTAACAGAGGCCAAGAGCATTTTTAAAAGGGAAAACCGTTAACAGCAGCTTTCATCCTGCGTTCTTCTGTGAGTCCCCCCTTTCAATGGCTCGGAAAAGACATGGTTTTGAACTATGAATCTCAGGTTTCTCCTGCTCTGTCCTTGTTATTGGTACTCGTTGCTCAATGCTCTGGTCTCTGGAGCAGCTCTAAAGAAGCTCCTGATGTCTTCTACATGATACCCCTTCAAAAATGTAAAGATGGCTCAATCACCATCTCCCTTTCACTAAGCTCCCTCACTTACTCCTCTGACAGCAGAGCTTTTAACCTAGAATGGCATTGGTCTTTTTGGCCACCACATCACACTGTTGCCTTGTCTGTTGCTACAGCTAATAATAATAATAATAATAATAATAATAATAATAATAATTTATAATAATAATTTATAATAATAATTTATAATAATAATTTATTATATATTAGGCATGAGGCAGGTTACAACACAATGAAGAGAACACGAACCTTGCAAAAATTCAACAAAGATACATATTTCTATAAAAGATCCCACCCAGATCTCCTCCCTTCTGCCTTTGTTTTTCCTATCTTTGTATTGTGTCTTACACTTATCCCTCTTGGCCTTCCATTTTCTAAATTTGGGCTCTCTTCTGACTCACTATGGGGACATTTCAGAGTCAATGAGACCTTTTGAAGCCAGAGCTGTGTTAATTCAGACTCTCCGTACAAAAAAGAGACCAACCTTGGAGACCAACAGGGAGAAACCATTTGGTAGACTGAACATATCGAGACCAAGTTTACTTCCTGGATGAACAGACTCTACGGGTGAATTGCCAACAAAATGCAAAACCTCTGGGTGCGGGGAGGAGGTGGGGAGTTCAGGAGGAAAGATGTTGCTGAAAGCAACATCCTCTGAATGGCAAGATTGGGATTGAGAGTGAATGAGAAAGGAGATCTACCCGTCTCCTAAGGCTGAGACTTGGTGCTGTGAACAGTCTCTCCATTCATGGTCTTGGAAAGGAAGAGTCCAAGAGATGAGTATGTTTCTGTCTGGAGTCAATCCCTGGCTGACGTTATCAGGACCTAGCAGGAGCCAAAAATGAGATGGAATCTGTTATTGGGATCTAGTGGAAGCCCAAAAGGAGATGGGACCTGTTATCAGGACCTAGCAGAAGCCCAAAAGGAGATGGGACCCATTATTGGAATCTAGCAGGAATCCAAAAAGAGATGTGACCTGTTATCGGGACATAGTGGAAGCCCAAAAGGAGATAGGACTCATTATCGGGATCTAGTGGGAGCCAAAAAGAAGATGGGACCCATTATCAGGACTTACTGGAAGCCCAAAAGGAGATGGGACCAATTATCGGGATCTAGTTAAAACCCAAAAGAAGATGGGGCCCGTTATCGGGATCTAGTGGGAGGCAAAAATGAGATGGGACCCATTATTGGGACCTAATGGAAGCCCGAAAGGAGATGGGACCCATTATTGGGATCTTGTGGAAGCCCAAAAGGAGATGGGACCCACTGGCTGTCAGAGAGTTAACACTGCCTTTTCCGCCTGTGTCATTCGCCTCCACCAATGGGAAGGCCTTTGAAAGGGGATTCCGTGGGGATGTGTCTGGGTTTGGGTAGGGGAGTCCTGTTAAGTTGCCAGAGCCTGGACCAAAGGTGGCCCAAAAGGACTCAAGACTGCACTTACCAGGTTGCAGGACCTCCAGGAAAGCGGTGTCTGGGTCACAGGCGTTGGAAAGCGCACAAAAGCAGAAGGGCGGCCGGTGCTCTGGCAGCGCCTGCATGATGCAGCTTCCTTTTGTGGTGGGAGACTTGTGGGTGACTCTCTGGGGGGAGGGGCCAAGGGTGGAAAGCCTCAGCTTTCAATGCTACGTTGGAGATTGGCAACATTTTTTCGTGGGGGAGATTCAGAGGCGCTAACACATTGTTGTTATTGTTTTTGGAGAGGGTCCAAACATGCCTCATCCAGTGCTTTGGATAGTGAAATGTGGCCCTTTCTACCACATAGCTTCTGTTCATGTATAGCTGACCCAGATCCCTTATGCCAGGCACATTCAAAGTCCAGCCCAGGGACCAATTGCAGCCCCTGTTCAAATTTCCACTGGCCATCTCTCTCCAGGCCTCTCTCCCTCCTTCCCTCACTTATTTCCTTCCTTCCTCCCTGCCTTTCTTGACAATCAAAGCCTCCCGACAGATGGCCATGCCACCTTTGTTGAAAACACTCCAGAGACAGTGACTTTGAGGCAGCATATGCCACAGCCTGAAAAGGCTTGAAGACTCACAACAATCCTAAGTAAGTTGATTCTCTCCTTGTGGGCCCACCCTTCCAATTGAAAGACTGGCATGTTTACATTGGATGAAATTGTTGTGTTGTTTTTAGGGGGGTTGGAACTACAAATAAAATATATGCAGTGTGCATAGGAATGTGTTCATGTCCGTCCGTCCCCCCCCCCCCTTCTTTGGAGGCTTTGAAACAAAACCTGTCAGGGGAGCTAGATTGTGTCTTCCTGCCCGGCAGAAAGGGTTGGATGGCCTTTAGAGGTCCCTTCTTACTCTAGAATTTGAAGATTCTAAGGAAATGAAGTAGGTCCACACATCTCAAGGACGCTCAGCCAGGCAACCACCCAAAGGTCCGTCGCCGGACCTCGTTACCATCAATACCCTCCTTTCGAAAGGAAGCCAGCCTCCGTGGACTTGCAAAACTCAATTTCACAACCCCTTCAACCGGACTTCCTCTCTGGCTTGAGTGCCAAGAAATGGCCAGCCGGGATTTGGAAAGGCAAAGCACCAAATGGCCCTCCGGAGACATTGCACTGGGACTCCCGTTGTCTACAGAGTCTGAAGGCCTTTGGCCTGTCTGGGAACAGTGGATATACGTTTATCGGAAAGCATGCTTCTCGGGACATCCGAAGCCCCACCCACACTGCCACATGCCTCTATTGACTTGTGTCCAATGCACCATCAAATCTAATGTGCACCCTAATTTTGGCAAGGTGATTTAGCCAAAATCGGTGAGCATTAGATTCAAGTATATACAGTAATCCATCCAGTTTCTGAATCCAGGTTATCTGCTTTGAACCGATTATATGGCAGTGTAGATCCAACCTGATGCAGACTTGGAAGAGTTCCCTTCCAACTGCCTTGTGCCCTGCCTTTGTTGACATTGATATTGCAATTCTACTCATAGTTAAGCAAGTTGAGGTCTGATTGGTATCAGATCATAGCCAGAGGGGTGAGAGGCGCTGTACTCTTCAGCAATTTGGTACGGCTCACAAGACTGTTGTTTTCAGAGAAAAATGGACGAAAAAGAAAGACACTGAGCGGATTTTTTTGTTTTGTAACCAATCATGACTTTTAATCTCTGAAATCAGAAGCCAATCCCCAGACAGACCCCTCCAGGCGCTCTATAAGAGTGCATCCCTCCCTTGCGAGGCACTGATTCTGGACAAGACTTGGTCTCAAATGGCCAAAGGGGGTCAGAAATATGGAGAGGATGCCCCTGAGTTTCTTAGAGGGGCTTTTGGGGGCAAAATGTTGCAACCAAAGTTGCTCTGGTACAAGTTAATAAGGGAGGAGTGCCCCCAATTTCTACTCAAAGTGCCACTGGTTCCTTTGCCCACTCAGACATCGCCACCTATCCCAATGCACTTGCTCATCCTGGGCACATTTCTGCTCGCCCTCCGAATGAGGGTACACTTACGCTTGCACACCCGCACCTTCCCAACTTGCATTGATCCCTTTCATACAATTCCCCACACTACCGTGCCACCTCCTCTCTGCCCCTAGGCACAGAATCGTCCTGTGACACTCTCAACATGAAATAATCTTAATTTTAAAAAATACCAGACCACCATCAATGTTCCAGCTATTGAACAAAGGATGTCAATGCATGCTTCTTTGGAGCTGACATATATGTATGTGTGTGTGTATTTCACCACAGAAACAGAGGCATTAATCAACTCTTTGGAGAAACTGGGCCACTCCTTGTCCAGAGAAGTCACCTTCCTTGCCAAATGCTAGCAGCGACTAGGCCTGGTTTGGGGTCTGGTCCCTGTTGGGGCATCCTTAAGGGCACTGTAATCCTATCTTCTTGTCCCACTCTGACATTTGGGGGGAATCTTTAATGATGATTGCTCTTCCCAGACCCTTTCGCTTCCCAACCAAACCAAGCTTGGCACAATCAACTGCCCAGAAGGATCCCAGCCAAGAGACAAGGCTTCTTTTGCTTCAGGATGCTACTTCTGGCAAGGCTCTACCAGCTTCAGGCCCTGGATCACAACCACATCTGCCACCGGCCATGGGTTTCCTGGTGTTGTGGAACCACACCGCCAGAGGCCAAGGAGGAAGGGAGGGTGATGTGCCAAGACTTCAGAAGGAAACCCCATTAAGGGAAATGGGACTCTACTGTGGTGAGGTGGCAAATGCCATTCGGGGCTGCTAGGAGAGGGCATATGCCATTTTGACCCCACTGCAGTGGAGCCTCTCAACTCCCAGAAGCCCTAGCCAGATTGTCCAATGGTCAGGAAGTCTGGGAGCTGAAGTCTGAAACATCCAGAGGGCTGCTAGTTGAATAGGTCTGATTGAAGGCGGTTGGCTGAGAACCTTCTCTAAAGTCCTAGACTTCAGAGGCCATCATCTGAAAACGGTCTCCAAAGTTAACCCTCTACGGCCATCATTTGGGGACCTTCTCCAAAGCCTTCGCTTTTTGAAGTCATCATCTGAAGACATTCTCCAAAATCTTAACTTTCTAAAGCCATCAGCTGAGGATCTTCTCCACAACCCTAGCCTTCTGAGGTCATCATCTGAAGATGGTCTCCAAAGCTAATAGCAGGCCTCTTCAACCTGTGGCCCTCCCAGTGTTATGTTAAGGAATCCTGGACACTGGACAAGCTGGAAGTAGGGGCTTCTGGGAGCTGGAGGTCTAAACACCGGGAGGGCCGCAGGTTGAAGATACCTGCCTTTAGCTTTGGAGTCCGTCTTCAGACGATGGCCTCAGAATGGCCAGGAATTATGAAAGCTGGAGTTCAACAAAACAGTTGGAGGGCCACAGCCTGAATTTCGAATTGATTTCGAGCCTTGCCTGGTTGCCATGGGCAATTAGGTATGACATACAAGCATACAGAGGAGTCGAGACAGGAAGATCAGGAATCAAATACCTAGGCCCGATGCCTTGGCCAAGAGGAATGCCCACTCTGCAGAAAGACTCAATGGAGGATGAGCTCCAGCCCTTCCTTTACCTGCTTCCCTACCAGAAAGAGACCAGAAAACACTACTGCAAGCTCCAAATGTTTGTGCAGCTCTTCACACAACCCCAAAAGATTCTCAATTACTGGAATTAGTCAGCTTGTACCATTCCGGGAAGGAACTTTTGCCACTGGTCTTCTCAAAACAGCAGGAGAAATGAAACAAACGCTGGCCAGGAAACATGGACCCAGAAATAGGCAGGTTAGGACACTCTTCAGATTAAAGTAAAGCACAAACAGAAGGTTGGAATCATGGCAATGCAGACTCTGATATGCAGCACAGGACAACCAAGTGTGTCCAACGGGGAGGGAGAAGAGGGAAGGGTCTGTGGCATGGTTTTGAAGCACAGGGGGTCATCCCCCTCCCGTTGGAGGGGTTTAGAGGCTGGAAACCATGACAGGGTTGGGTCTGCATCAATGGCACGCAGAACATAAAATACTGCAAAATGGTAAAGAAAGGAAAAGAAAGTGACATTTGGATTTTGACAACTTTCGAGTTAAAACAAACAAACAAACAAAAAAAAAAAAAACCCAAAGAGTATTATTGGCATTGTGGTCCCAAAATCCGAGGAGGCCTTTCCGATTGCTTCGCAAAAGAGTTGACGCAGTGGCAACTCAGCAATGGACACGAAGATAATAAAGGGGGAATGTTTCGCACAAAAAAGCTCAACTCTGGACACACGGCATCGACGGCGACTTCTGGATTTTCGGAGAAGATTCCCAAAGGCTGTGGGAAGGAGAGGCGCCCTTCCCGGGGCAGTGGCCCCTCCTGCCAACCCAGAGCTCTGCCCTGGGCCCCAGTTCAAATCCTGATGCCTGCCCACCTGCCTTGCATCCCTCCCCCAAGGCCCTCAAATCGCCATCTTCGCCACTTGCTGTTCAAGCCTGGAAAGCCGTTCGTCTTGCTGGGCGATTGTGTCTTTGAGGGACTTGAGCTCTTTCAAAATCTCGTCCAATTTCGCATCATTTTGCTGTAACACAAGAGAAAAGAGGCCCGGGGTTAGGGGGCAGACACAGATACCACCCATCTGAGGAATTATTATTAAACCGCTAGCTGCAGAAAAACCTGCTGACTGGAAGGTTGGCAGTTTGAAGCTGCGGTCAGGGAGAGCTCCCACTGTCAGCCCTAGCTGCTGCCAACCTAGCAGTTCAAAAACATGTAATGTGAGCAGATCAATAGATACCGCCTTGGTGTAAAGGTAAAAGGTGCCCATACAGCCATGCCGACAAAACACGACCAGAAGGGTCTATGGACAACAGGCTCCTCAATATGGAAAAATGGAATAAGAGCACCTCCCCATGGCCAGAGTTGAGCATCGCCTGCAGACACCAGAGATGGAAAGGGAAACCTTTGCTTTTGTTTGTGTATTGTATGTCATTGTTCACTGTATAAAAGGCATTAAATGTTTGCCCTATATATGTGTATACTGTAATCCACTCTGAGTACCCTCAGAGAGATAAAGCAGAATATAAATAAAGTGTATTATTATTATTAATAATAATACCCCTCTCTACCTCTCCCGAAGGAGACTCAAGAGCAAAAAGCATTAGCATACAATTTAAATCATACCACTATGCAAGCATTAAAATAGGATTAAGTATAAACAGGACTGAAAAAATCCCAGTTATTCCACTGCGAGTGGGCCAGTAAGAGAGAATAGCCTCAGTGTCCTGGACTGCAGATCCCAAGGATGAAATCCACTCCCAATTAAGGCTTGGAAACAGATTCCTTTTATTATCCTGACCAATACTGGATGGAGAGAAAATTGCTTCTGCGCTTTTTGCACAAAAGGCATTGCAAATATCCTCAATCAAAATTCCCTCCTCATTTTTGCCCCTCTCCCATCTACTTTGTTCATGGATTCCCAGGCTTTAATGCCATCTATTGCTCTATTGTGTTGTCGAAGGCTTTCATAGCCAGAATCACTCAGTTGCTGTGAATTTTTTGGGCTGTATGAGAATTCCATGGCAGAAGCGAGAGACATTTTTTTCTACTAGAAAAGGGCGGGGATTTAGGTTTATATGCTTTTACAATTGCATGTCAACTATTTCTCAATCGGTTGTAAAGGTTTTAACTCTTGTTTTTCATACCGTCAGTATTTTGTTCTATTTTAATGCCTCCATTTTTTGGTTTTGTATTGTATTGTACAGTACTCGTTTTTACTGCAAGCCATTTTGAGTCCTATTTTTAGAGAGAAAAAGTGGGGTATAAATCTTTAAAGAATATGTGATTTTATAGATGTCTTTGTGTTGTGCCATTATTTTGATGTATTATATTAATTATATTTTATATAAATTATATTATTATATACCCATATATTATATATTATAATATATATTATACGAATAATATAATATAATATAATATAATATAATATAATATAATATCTTCTGTACACATAATAAAAGTGAAAATATGTATGTGTGTGTGTGGCTGGGGTGTCCACTGACAGACAAACTCCTGCCTCCACAAACAGCTGAAGATCCCACTACTCAGGAGACACTAAAGGCCTTCCCTCCAATGACACTGCAGGTTATAGTGAGGACCATGAACATGAACAAGAGCCCTGCCAATGTCCTCCACAAACACCATACTGCCCACCACCCAAGTGAAGGCTTTCATACAGGGACAATTTTCAGTTTTCTCCACCACAGACATCCCAGTGTTTCTGACTATTGGTGTGGAATTTGCATGACCCTGCCCACTGCCTCTCCTTTAACCCTTTCCTATTCTTTTCTATGGCACAAAGCAAATAGAGGAATTGATCAGAAACTGAACGTACAAGAGAGGTTTGGGGAGAATTCACCAGTAGGAGTTGTAGATACTGGGATGTATAGTTCACCTGCAATCTAAGAGCACTCTGAACTCCACCAAAGATGGAATTGGACTAAACTTGGTACACAGAGCCCCCATGACCAGTAAAAACTACTGAAGGTTTTGGGGAAATTTCACCTTGATTTGGGGGAGTTGTAGTTCACCTACATCCAGAGAGCAATGTGAACCCAAACACCAATGCATCTGGACCACTTGGCACACATACCTGATATGCCGAGATCTGATTACTGGAGAAGTTTGGGGGGACCTAACTTTCCTTTCTGGAAGTTGTAGTTCACTCACAACCACAGAAATAGTGACCTCCACCAATGATGGACCTGGACCAAACTTGACACAAAGAACCCCCAAGACAAACTCAACCTACTAGAGGGGTTGGAGGGGACTGACTCACCATAGTGGGAGTTGTAGTTTACCCTACAGCCAGAGAGCACTGAACCCCACCGAAGATGCATCTAGAGAGCAAACTTGTCCAACATGACAAACTTTAAATACTGATGGAGTTCCTCGGGGTTAACCTGGCATGATGTGAGTTATGGTTCACCCACAACCTTATGCATTTTGTACAATTCAAAAATTGACTTTTTCAAATAACCCAGGCACTGCCGGGTACCCAAGCTAGTATAATTCATTTTATATATATATAAACGCTCTCTACGTGGGGTTGCCTTTGAAGACAGTCCGGAAGCTCCAGTTAGTCCAACGGGCGGCAGCCATGATTCTAACAGGAGCGGGGCGCAGGGAGCATACAACTCCCTTGCTGAACCAGCTCCACTGGCTGCCGATATGCTACCGGGCTCAATTCAAAGTGCTGGCGTTGGCCTTTAAAGCCCTAAACGGTTCTGGCCCAACTTATCTATCCGAACGTATCTCAGCCTATCAGCCCACCAGGACCCTAAGATCTTCCGGAGAGTCCCTTCTCTCTATCCCTCCAGCTTCAGAAGTGCGGCTGGCGGGAACGAGAGACAGGGCCTTCTCTGTGGTGGCCCCCCGGCTTTGGAACACCCTCCCTATAGAGGTACGATCAGCCTCTTCGCTGATGGTGTTTAGGAAGAGACTCAAAACTTGGCTGTTCAAACAAGCATTCGGCTAATCTGTGGCAATTCGAATATTGATGACTAAGGACAGGAAATATGGACAACGAATTCTGGATTGTGATTTCAACTCGAGATATATGGGATTATTATTGGTGGCCCAATAATTTGTTATTGTATGTGTATATGTTTTTAAATTGTAGATTGTTTTAACTGCTGTAAACCGCAATGAGTCGCCGTTCTAGGCTGAGATATTAGCGGTATACAAGTGTATCAAATAAATAAATAAATAAATAAATAAATAAATAAATAAATTATATATATATATATATATATATATATATATATTGAATTATAATAATTTTATTATGATGATAAATTTGAGAACTTTTGAGATGTGTCTCGTACTCCTTCCTTGAAAATAAAACCAAAAAATAGGGCATTTTTTTCACAGACCTGAGAAGCCCAGCAGCTTCTTTTGACTCACCGGGTTTGAGGAATCGGCTGCTTTCTTTGGGGCACTGATGAGATCACTCTTTTTGTTGGCAGTGGGCTTATTGTCCAAGATGTTCTTCTTGACCACCTTGAGGTCCCGGTTCTTGCCGGGGATGTAGCCGTGCTTCAGGGAAATGAGGATGGGGTTGGCATTCTTGCCCTCAAACCATTCCTCGGCTTCCAGAGCTGCTTCTGGGCCAGCTGTATCTGGGTACAAGTCATCTTGGAAAAGGTCGGACTGCAAGAAGGGGCAAGCAAAAGGATCAGCATGTGCAATGGTGGAAACCCTCCTCAAGGTGTGATCAATAGGATATATGTTGTCGAAGCCTTTCATGTCCGGAATCATTGGGTTGCTGTGTTTTCCCTGAAGACATCACAACCCTGTTTCACCATTGCCTCACCACAAGCTACTTCCAGTGGGACAATGAATTCTATGAACAGAAAGATGGAGTGGCCGTAGGGAGCCCTCTCAGCCCAGTCATAGCAAATTTCTACATGGAACACTTTAAAAAACAAGCCCTGGAAACAGCAACAAAAAAGGCAGCGGGCTTATTGTCCAAGACAATATGGTTCAGATATGTGGACGACACCTTTACCATTTGGAGCCATGGAGGAGAAGAACTAAACAGGTTCCTGGACCACCTTAACAGCATCCACCCAAACACCCAATTCACCATGGAAAACTGCCATTTCTAGATGTCCTAGTTATCCACAAACCCAATCAACAATTGGGCCACACAATTTACAGGAAATCTACAGGAAATCCACACACACAGATAGATACCTAGATAAAAACTCCAACAATCACCCAAGTAAAAAAAGCAGCACAATTAGCAGACCGTGCAAAAAGAATCTGCGAAGTCCACTTCCTCCAACATGAACTGAACCACCTCAACTGGGCTCTACAGGCCAATGGATACGCCACCTCAGACATCAGAAGACCAAGAACAAGCCGTGAGAGGAAAGACAAAAACCCACCCAGAGGAAAAGTGTTCTTGCCATACATCAAGGGAACCACTGACTGCATAGGGAAACACATGAAGGAACACAACCTACAAACTATCTTCAGCGTCACTAAGAAAATCCAACAAATGCTATGTCTAGCAAAGGACAAGAGGTATCCTCTCACCTCTGCAGGAGTTTCCCGTATACCATGCAGCTGTGGACACAAGTCTACATAGGGACCCCCAAACGCAGCAGCATTGCCCAGACACAAGTCAAGGAACATGAAAGGCACTGCAGGCTAATTCAACCAGAGAAGTCAGCCATAGCAGAATACCTGATGAACCAACATGGACACAGCATATTATTTGAGAACACAGAAATGCTGGACCACTCTAACAACCACCATGTCAGAATACAGAGAAGCCAGAAAGGAGGAAACCATGCGGGAGGACGGACAATGGATGATGAGATTTGTAGTACTATCAAACCCTTCGGTTACCACAGACCACTGTGGCCCCCAACAAAGACCGATAAAGACCAAACTTGGCACACAGAGCCCCCATGACCCACTCTACATCCTACTGCAGTTTGGAGGAGGGCGAACCATGGATGATGGGACTTGAAGCAAATCCACTCACTTACCAAGACGGCTGAGACCCTCATCCAATGACTTATCAAGACCAAACTTAGCACACATAACCCCCATGACCCCTTTTACGTCCTGGTGAGGTTTGGGGGAGGACGGACAATGAGATCAATTCTTGAGAATGCTCTGAGCTTCCTTAAGGCTGCGGGACTTTTCCCCAAAGATGGGGGAAAGAAGGCAACCAATTGTTTTCTGTGCAGAAGTGGTGACGCTTTGGAGTGCCTTCCTGTCTGCCACTTTTGCAATTTTTAACACTTCACTATGCTCTTGTAATTGCTGCAGATCATTTGCTCCACTGCCAGGTTCAAGAAGTTTCCTATCTTCTCAAACTACTGTTGCTGCTTTACCATTTTTAAATGCTTTTTCCTTGGTTGGAAATGACCCGACGCTCACCTTCCGAGGAACGGTCATGATGATGGGCTCACACTTCCGCTCCTGGAGTTTGAAAAACCTAGAAGGGAATGATGGAAAGGCACATGTGAAAAACAGCAGGTTTTGTTTTTTCCCCTGACAAGATGCAGGTGAAACATCATGAGAAAATGCTGCTAGAGCACATTGGCTACACAGCCCCGAAACCACATAAGAACCCACAGAGCCTATGCTTTCCCCCCTTCTCTGTTACCTGGCGATCTCGCACTTGTTGACGTCCAGGCCCCTCTTTGGCATGAAGCCCATCCCTCGCTGGGGCTCTTTGCTGCTGTAGGTGTTGAGGTAGTGCACATAGGGCGACTCGTCTGTGATCTCAAAGTAGCGGATGCTGCTGTCGCCCTGCGGGAAGTGGAGAGAGGGAGAAAGCGACATCATCACCTTGGGAAACAGCCCTCTCTTTGTGCCTGCTGCTTGACCCTCTTCAGGGAGGGGAAACGGACACCATGGGCCTGTCATCTTTCCAAAGGTTAATTCAGAGGGTTGAGAATCGTTCATTAATGCCAATGGGTGATTCGATCAGATGCTTCACCTGGTCATTTCTGATAGCAAAGCCAACTCCATGCATTCTTCTTCTTCAGGCAGTCCCTTCTAGAAGAAGGTGTAGCCTCCTTTTTTCTTCCTTTCTAACTTTCAAAGTAAGGACTGCACAATTAAACAGGAAATTACATGTTCCAACCAGGAACAGAACATTTTTCAAATTTTGTTACATAGTGTTATTGCAGTTTTACGTCATGCACTGACTCTTTTTTTTTTGTGCATTTCTTCTCCCAGAATTCACTGGATCCTATCCGTGGCCTGAGAGCAGCCTCAGCAATGGTACAATAGCACAACTCTGTTGTGAGCTCCACCAAAACAAGCTCACAGGGCCACCGAAAGGAATACTAGCTTCTTATTTTGCCCATTCCATTTTCTTACTTTTTGGGTCAATTCCGTCCCAATATGGGGACATTTCGGAGTCAATTAGAACAATTCTTCACCCAACAAATTGAAGGCAATGGGAGGAATTTATTTATTTATTTGGGATATTTCTATCCAGCCTTTCTCTGCAACCCGGATCCAAGGTGGCTTACAAACAGAATACAAACATTAAAATCCTTCAATCAGAGAACAAAACAGATAAAACCATGGTAAAACAACAATCAATAAAACTCCACATTTCAGTCAAAACCCTAACCTCCTCTCCCATGTATCCCTCCTCCATTCTGATCATAAAATCCCAACACCTGCCATGGCTCAGTTAAAGGCCTTGTTAAATAAGAAAGTCTTGACCCCCTTCCTAAAGCTGAGCAAAGATTGAGCAGCCCTTACTTCTTCAGGGAGGGAGTTCCAGAGGGCTGGGGCTGCACCTGAGAAGGAGCCTTCTCTAGTTATGCGTAAATACATACTAGTGGGGGTCATGTGGCAATTCAAGTTTCCCCGCTTGATCTAAGTTTGTGCCCTGGGATGTATTGAGGGACCCGGTGCTCCAGATAGGCTAGACTGAAGCCATATAGGGCTTTATAGATGATGACCAGCATCTTGAATTGAGCCCAGAACCAGACAGGCAACCAATGGAGCTGCTTCAAGATAGGTGTAGTAAGCTCCATGAAATTAGCACCTGTCAGAACAAACTGCAATTTCCGGATGCTCTTCAAGGGCAGACCTACATAGTCCAATTTGAATGTAACCAACGCCTGCACCACTAAGGCCAGGTCCGGAGTCTCCAGGAATGGGCTTAGTTGGCGCACAAGCCTTAGTTGTGTGAAGGTAGACCTAGTCACTGCCACCATCTGGGCTTCCAGGTTTAAAGTGGAGTCCATGATGACCCCCAAACTGCGCACCTTTCAGGGGGAGTGCAACCCCATTCAGTTCAGGTTGGAACGCCATTTTTAAATCCCTCCTCTGAGACACCAGTAGTACCTCCGTCTTGTCTAGATTGAGCTTCAACTTGTTCACCCTCATCCAAGCTAGTCCATTACTGCCTTCAGACAACGGTTCAAGGGCAGGACCGCTTCCTTGGCACCAGGTGAAAAGTAGTAGAGTTGGGCACCATCTGCATACAAATGATACTGAACTCCAAAACTCCAGATGATCTCTCCCAGTGGATTCAGGTAGATGTTAAATAACATTGGAGATAAAGATGAGTCCTGCAGGACCCCACAGCCCACCTGCCATGAGGTCGAGAGGGACTGCCCCAAAACCACCTTCTGGGACCAGTCCATTAGGAAGGACCAGAACACTGTAGCACAGTGCCTCCTAGTCCCATCCCCTCAAGCCTTCCCAGAAGGATACCATAATCAATGGCATCAAAAGCTGCTGAGAGGTCCAGCAGAGTTAACAGGGTCACACTCCCCCTGTCCATCTCTCCACGTAGATCATCCACCAAGGCGACCAAAGCTGTTTCTGTTCCATGTCCCAGTCTGAAGCCAGATTGGAAAGGATATACAGACCAGATCAAAATTGCCAAATATCTCATAGAAGCTATACCCAAGCAACAGGTGACTTAGGATGGAAAGAGGGAGGAAAATGGGAATTTTTAAAATGGCTCAAATATTGATCAGAGTATATGCTCCAAGACGACACATCTGAAAGAAGAACAAAATATATGACTGGTCATCTAAAGGAAAACTGGGAGTTGAAGTGGAAAGAGACTATGTAAAGCCAGAGCGAAAGGGAAAGGAAAATATAAGGAACCGAACCACAAAATCTTCATGATCAGACAAATAATATAAACCAATGAGTAGAGTCATAACTGTTCGGGGGGGGGGGGGGGTGTTAGGTATAAGTCATAGATGTATAGAACTGTAAAGGATAAGATGTAATCAATAGAATGTGTTATATGCGGATAATAATAATAGTAATAATAATAATAATACATTACTGTTGTGTATATGCAGTTGTGAATGTTACAAATTACTTACATCCAACCAAATTACTATTAATAATAATAAAAAGAGGAATGAATACCCCTATGAAAAGAGGAATTACTGATAGCAATTAGAAACGAGAAAGGAGATCAATCCCTCTTTAGAACCTCCCTTTGTTTTCATCACATCAGATTCCAAGCAGTCGCCACTCACTTTTCCACACAAGTAAATGATGTTGGTGTCCGGGTCATAGAAAGGCAGCAATACTCCATTGCTAGTGTCCATCTCGTGGAGGGCAATGGGCTCTTCCATGCTTTTCTGGAGTGGAAAAACAGCATCTTACATTACAAAGGTAGACTTTAAAAAAGGAAGATTTCTCTCTGAAACCCGTCAACCAAGCAGCCTGTTTGCTTAAAAACAAATGGCCAGTAATTCATTCTCGAAAAATGGATGCAGAAGAAAACACAGAAGTTGGAGAAAAGCTCCCTGCCTCCGAACAATGGTGATGGCCCGGAGCAACCACTCACCGGGTTCCAGAGGGCCAGCTGCCTTTCGCTCATGCGACTAAAGCCCGTGGTGAAGACGTTCCCGTCTGAGAGGAAGATGGCGCGCATGGGCCGTGCTCCCTCATGCGCCTTGTCTTTCTCCTGCAGGGAGAGGAAAGGCCTGCTCAAAGGAGGCCACTGGCTTGGAGAAGCTTCCCAGCGGATGCAGAGAAAGGCCCCGATAGCCTTCACTCCTGCTGAGAAGAGCAAAGAAGGAATGGGGTCCCCTGCCCAACCCCATACATGGATCCCTTTGGTTTGCTCGGGTTTTTCGGGCTGTATGGCCAGGTTCGAGCTGCATTCTCTCCTGACGTTTCGCCTGCATCTGTGGCAAGCATCCTCAGAGGTGAGGCAAGTTGAGTGTGTATATATAATGTTAAAACTGGCAAGCTTGAATTGCACCAAGTAGCCATGAAGTTTGTAAAATCAATCAGTGAGGGTATCAAGCCTGCTAATTGCAACATTCACACTTGCTTCACACAGACAAGGATTCTTTCTCCCACCCTAGACATTAAGACACAGACATATATACACACTCCACTTGTTACCTCTATGCCAATACCCTCACTGAGTGACTGAGGCTACTCAATGCTAATCAAACTTGCTAATTGCAACATTCATACTTGCTTTAAACAGACCAGGGTTCTTTCTCCCACCCTGGACATTATTCCACAGGTGTATATATATTCCACTTGCTTGACTACCATCGGAACCTCTGAAGATGCAGGCCAAATGTTAGGAGAGAATGCTGCTTGAACATGGTCATACAGTCCAAAAAACTCACAGCAACCCAGTCATTCCAGCCATGAAAGCCCTCAACAATATGTTCCCCATACTCACGGCTACAATCTCTTGTTTCCGGGGGTCAATCACACGGACCTTCTTGTCTTTAGACGAAGTGCAGATGAGGCTCCCGTTGCGATTCCAGCTGACGCTGTAGATCATCTCTTGGTGCATGTCCTCCAGGCTGATGAGGGGCTCCCCGGTGCCCACGTTCCAAATGAGGATAACATTGTCGCAACCTGAAGGTGATGACAATGAAGGAGTCTTAAGAGCTGCCACTAGGCCTTTTTGCCTGCCCCATTGTCCACCGTCAGTCTGCCATACAAGGAAAACAGAAAAGGGAAAAACTCCTCTCTAAATTCCAGTCCCAGCTCAAGAACCCTCCTCGTATTCAGGGAGGGCCTTTGACCATCATCCAAAGCAGCACAGTCTTTTCCTTCTGCTTTGTTTGAGGAAGAGTTTTGTCCCCGTGAGAACCCAAAATCCAACGCATCAGTGGGCAACTAACATTGGCTCCCAATGGATCTGCAACCTACCAGCACTAAGCAGAATGTTGCGTGCCGTGGGGTGCCAGGCCACGATGCCCACTCTCTTGGAGTGGCCTTCTAAGACCACCACCGGTTCTGTTAGGGAGAGCGCCAGCCCGTTTTCGGGGATCTGCCAGACCTGCAAAGGAGAAAGAAGCAAACCCAAAAGGATTGAAAGAAGTGCTCAGACAGGACTGTCCTTGCTTTTTTTCAGTCTGGAGAAGGACAGGCATAGAAAATGACACTCCCAAGGCAGTCTCGCAAAGCCCAGGATCATGGTATTTCCAAGGACGGGGTGAGGCTCTGGTCTTATTGAGGCCTGTGAAGCCTCTGAGGAAGAGGATGGGGAATTTCTGGTTGAGCCTGGTTTTTCTGTGGGGGAAAGCAAAAGTGCTTTTTGAGATGATGGGAATGTTTTGGGTAGATCTGTTGTCGGGGAAACAGGTAGTGATTCTCATGAGAATCAATCATGGGTTGTCCATGAAAGGAATGTGGAGACAGGAGGGTTACCGATAACCCAGCATTTACAGCTCAGAAGGGATAGTGCAAAACAGAGACCAATTCATTGTTCCCAGAGACTGAAAGATAAACAAACAGAACCCAGGTGTGAGAAAGGGTGATGTCTGAGTCTGTTGGTGGTGCAGGAGGGTCTTATTCTAATTACTTGAATCAGGAGGGTGCTGAGTCACGAGAGACAGCTTAGGACTAACAGAGGACAACCATTACTGCGGCACCAGACTTTGTTGGTCGTTCCTCAGAAGCCTCTTCGCATTCACAACATCTATTGCTAACGAACAATCTGGCATTTGAAATTGCAGACTTAATGACTAACAGAGGCAGATGGACCTCAAGGAGAGCAGTTCAGAGGTCCCTGGCTCAGATTTTATCCAAGAGCCTGCTGGAAGTCAGATTGAAGACCATTACCTGGCTATGCAGAGACTATCAATCATGTGATCGCTCTACTTGTCTTCTTGTCACACTTGAAGACAATTCTTTTTTTGTGAATAGTTTTTATTAGTATATCAACAAGAAAGAAGGGAAGGGGTGGTTTACCTGGAAAGTGGGAGAACATTCATTTTATAGAAAAGTCAGAAAGTAGTAAGGAGATAAAGTGGTCATAAATCAAGAGTAGTAGTGACAAACATCCGAGAAAAGAGAAGGGGGAAAAAAATCTATAATAATAATAAAATAATAAAAATAGTAAAAGTGTATCCATTGACTTCCATTCTGTGCTTTAGCTGTTCGTATTTTCTCTATACCTTCCTAATTTTATTAGAAATTTTAACATAGAAGAATATGGCTGTATAAGTATATTTACATTATATGGTAAGACACCTCTAAAAATTATATTTCTAGTTCTTTTTCTGTTTTGTATACATCAAAAAGTGTCCAATCCATCCTCCTTATTGGGCTTCCCAAAAGAAAAGTTAATTTGTCCATATCTCTGATTTCTCTTAATTTACTTATCCAATCTTCCCTGTCTGGTATTTTATTTAGTTTCCAGAACTTCGCGTACGAGATTCTTGCCACTGTAGAAATATATGTAAATAGAATATCTCTGTTATGATCTAAGTTTAAGTCTGAGTCTGTGAGGCCTAAGAGATAGCATTCAGGTTTTCTTCCAAATTTAACTCCCAATAGTTTTTGAGTCTCTTCGTGTATCACTTTCCAGTATTTTTAGGCTTCTTTACAAGTCCACCACATGTGAAAAAAGCTGCCCTCCTGGTCCTGACATATCCAACAACTTTTACTTACGTTTTTATACATTAGTCCTAATTTCTTTGGGGTAATATACCACCTATGAAACATCTTTAAGAAGTTTTCTTTTAAATCCATGGCGTAAGTATATTTTGATTTTTAGTCCAAATTTGTTCCCACTCCTTCATATGTTTGGGACGTCTTAGATTTTCTGACCAACTAATCATGCAGTTTTTAACCACTTCTGATTCTGTGTGCCAATCAAGTGATTATAGATTTTTGTGATTAATTTTTTTCTCTGTCTGCAAAATTTTGTCCCAACTAGATTCTTTCAAATTGAAACCTATTTTTAAATCTTGGTTATAATATTCCTTGATTTGTAGATAATGTAACCAGGAGATGTTGGTATGGTCTCGTCTTAAGTTCTCATGTGTTTTTAGATTTGGGGTATTGTTAATTAATAAGTCTTTATATGTTGACCAATTTATCCAACCAAGCAATCTTCTCTGATTGGCTTCCATTGGGGACACCCATAGGGGGGGTTTCATGTAGAAATTTCTCCTGTATTTTGACCACACTCTAACTAGGGCCGACCTAATAAAGTGGTTTCCGAAGCCTTTCTCTTTTTGTTCCAGTTCGTACCATGTATGTGCATGCCATCCTGTACTTAGGCCAAATCCTTCCAGAGCTAGCAAATTCTCCTTCTTTAACTTCATCCAATCTCTTATCCATAATAAAGAGCTAGCTTCAGAATAAAGTCTCAAATCTGGGAAGTCAAAGCCTCCCCTCGATTTCTTATCTGATAGTACAATGGAGTTAATTCTTGGTCTTTTCCCTCTCCAGATGAATTTCATCAAATCCCTGTTCCATTCTTTAAATATTTTGACATTCCTTATTATCGGTAAATTCTGGAAAAGAAAAAGTAGCCTGGGGAGAATATTCATTTTTACTGATGCAATACGACCTAATAAAGAGAGATTTAAGTGTTTCCATTTGTCCAGGTCCTTCTTAATTTCCGTTCAAATTTTAACATAATTATTCTTTAATAACTGGCTATTTTTCGCTGTTATCCAAATTCCCAAGTATTTCAATTTAGGTGTAGTTTGTAGTCCTGTCTGTTTTGTCAGCTCTTCTTTTCCTTTTTTACCCATATTTTTTGTTAAAATCATCGTCTTCTTTTTATTTAGTTTAAAGCCGGCTAATTTGCCGAATTCCTCAATTTTTAGTAACCAGAGTGGAAGATTTTTTTCTAGGGTCTTCTATTATTCCTATCACATCATCGGCGAATACTCTCGCTTTAAATTCATATTTATCAATTCTCGCTCCTTTAACTTCATTATCTGTTCTTACACTCTTCATCAGTATTTCAAGCGCCAGTATAAATAATAATGGAGATAAAGGGCAACCTTGACGAGTGCCCTTGTTTATATTAAATGCTTTTCCCATCTGGCCATTTATTGAAATTTTTGCTTTTTGAGTCTCATAGATTGAATTAATGGCATTATTGAATTTGAAACCCAAATCTAGTTCTTGAATTAGAATTTTAAAGAAGTCCCAATTTAAATTATCAAATGCTTTCTCCGCGTCAATCGCCAAGAAAGCCATTTCTTTTTGATGATTATAATCATAATATTCAATCAGATCCAGTATTATACGTATATTATTTCTCATGTTATATTATTTCTATTTGGGAGGAAACCCGTTTGGCCCTCTCCTATCCATTCCTTTAAAAATTCCTTCAGGCGCGTAGCTAAGATATTGGTAAATATTTTGTAATCTGTGTTTAAAAGAGAGATGGGCCAATAATTCCCCATATTTGTTGGATCTGAATCTTCCTTGTGGATTAGGATTATTTCTGTTGACTTCCAAGTGCCTGGTATTACCTGGTTTGTAACTGCCTCGTTCATTACCTTTTTTAACATTGGGATCAATTCCGTTTTAAATACTTTGTAAATGCCTACCATAAAACCATCCGGTCCTGGAGCCTTTTTAGAATCTAGGCTAATTATGGCTTTCTCAATTTCTTCTGCGCTAATTTCTTTATTTAGTCTTTCTCATTGCTCGTCACTGATCTTTTGTAACTGAAATTTGTTTATATATTCCACTATGTCTTCTTTTGATACTTGGTTTTTTGCATATAGTTGTTTATAAAACCTTTGGAATTCCTCCAATATTTCTTTATTCTTAGTGTATAATTGTTCTCCAACCTTTATTTTGTTTATCTGTTGTGATTGTTTCTTTTTACGAATCTGCCTTGCTAACCAGCTGCCTAGTTTTTTGGCATTTTCAAAATGTTCTTGTTTGAGAAATTTCAACTGTTTCATTTGGTTTTCTAATTCTAAGTGGTGCTTTTTCTGATTTATTTTAGTTTTCTTATTAGAGATGTATTTGTGGGGTTTCCCTTAAGTTCTGCTTCATTTGCCTCCATTTTTGCCTCTATCTCCTTTAGGTCTCTGTTCCTCTGTTTATTTTTCCCTGCAGAATGTTGAATCAAATGATCTCGCAAAACCATTTTCAATGCGTCCCACACTATTTGGGGTTTCACTTTGTTTGTATTGTTTATTTTTATATATTCCTGGATTATATCTCTATATCTATTGATATCTTCTATATTTTTAATAAGTTCTCATTTAATCTCCATTTTCAGTGTTGTCTTTTTTGGTTGATTATTAATTCAAAAGGACAGTGGTCTGAGAGATCCCGTGGTAAAATATTTACTGTGTCAATCTTAGGAGTCAAACTTTTTGTAGCCCAGATCATATCGATTCTTGACCAAATTTTGTGTCTATTAGAGTAAAAAGTGTAATCTCATTTTTTACTGTTTCTCAGCCTCCACACATCCTTTAAATCCATGTGTCCTTTAAACGCTAAAAATTTTTGGGGTTATGTACTACACCCTTCTCCCCAATGTTTTTTCTTTAGATTATTACTTTTTTCCAATAGGGTGCCTGAACCCAGATGCCTTAAAGAGCCAGACTCAAGAGTATTTCCAAAAGTAGAGTTTATTTAAACAAAGTAAAAGGGATTCAGAGACACTTAACTCAGTGCCTCTGGTCAAAACTCAAAAGTAGCAACCAGTTCTAGTTCAAAAGGTAAACTGAAGCAATCATCCGGATTATTTGGAGAAAAAATTCGGATTAAAACAAAGAGCTCCAAAAGTCACACAAAATAACACAGCAAGTAAAGGGTTAACAAGCAAAGAGCCGCAAGGAAGAAGACGTAGTCAAGCAAATTCCGAGGTCGTAGCAAGCCAAGTCCAAAGTGGCGAGGTTCCAAAATCCACGTAGGCAGTGTCGTAGTCAAAACCGGTCCAAAGTCAAAGAAGGGAAAATCCACACTCACAAGAATCCAAGCTCAGTCGAAACACACACGAACGGCAGCAACCTGTAGATCCAGGACCCAATACCAACACGAAATAGGCAGCGACAAAACCCAATGCAC